TAGGAAACTATTAGCTACTAAAGGCAAATGATAATGTCTTGTCAGTTTTATAATATATAAATAAAATATATAACAACAAAAGTACCAATGATGAAAAGACATTAGTAGAAATAAGCTCTTATGAGATTTATACATGGTGAAGTTTAGAGAAATATAATATACCACATTTGTACATGAATGTTCACCAAATAAATGGGAACTTTTGGTACCATCTACTAACCATTTGCTAAAGTTATGAAAGATTTCATTATTTTTATCTTTCTATAGTATGTTTAGCTTAAAAATGCAACTTAGTTATAAATTAGCACATCAGAATAGTTAACATCCTTGGGATATAGACTATATAAAAATCTATCACCCATTCTATAATTTAATAGCACCAATCTAGAAAACTCTGCTATATAAATAAAAATGTTTGAGCACCCATGGTTAAAATTAAGGAGAACCTAATGAAAAGTTCATTTCTAGATCTGAATTAAAAAGGTATATAACACTTCGATTGACAGTATGATTTATAGAGTAGCCCCTATTGAGTAGAGTAGCCCCCTAGCCACAGGTGGCCATTTAAATTTAAATTAAGTAACATAAAATAAAGTGAAAATTTTACTTCCTCAGTTGCACTATCTACATGTCAGGTGCACAACAGCCTTATCAACAGTGGAGATGTAAAACATGTCTATAAATGCAGAAAGTTCTGTGGGATCACACTGATCGAGATACTAACTGTCAGCATTGAATACCCAAAACCCGTCATAGAGACTTCCTCCTGGTGATGTTGGATATTCTCTACAATTTGGAGGAGCAAATCCACGAAAACATTGACAAGTATATTCACTATTGCAAACCTAAAACCAAAAACAAATTGTTTATTTTAATGTGGAAAATAATTCTTAAATAAAATTTAATAAAACAAATGTCCATGCAACATCTTTTCAAATGTCACATGAATTTCCTATTATTTATCTCTTATATTTTTAAATAAAAGTAGATAACATTTTTTATAAAACTGAAATATCTTATTCTGGAGAGGCATAGAAAGTATGAAGCTAGATATAAATTTGTGGAAATTTAAAATTTTTATGAATTGTGTCAGATACAAAAATTGCTGTGAGAAGACCCAACTTATAAAAGAGAGAGAGAGAAAAAAAAACTAAAGGAAAATTTTGCTTAAAAAGACACAAATGTAAAAATTTATTTTGCTAGTAAATATCTATAAATATGAGCTGGTGTATGAATTAAAAGAGGAGTCAGAGCAGAATAGAGAATCTAGAAGTAAACTTATGCAAAAATTCAATTAAAATTAAATTTAAAAAAACAACAGAAAGTAAACTGTAACTAATAGGACATTTAAGTTATTTGGGAGAAATTCTTGAATAAAGACTCAAAGGCACATCACTTTTTCCTGGATTACTATAGTACAATACATGAAGCATCAATATGGCAGAAGCCAAAGGCATATTTGGAAACCTTCCAAAGCCTACAAAATTTCTATAATCCAGTCAAAAATTTCACAATGAATGGTAAAATAGAAATACAAATGGAAAATATGACCATACATACATGCTTAAGAACTGTGTCATTAATTATTAAATAAATGAAAATTAACAATGGATTTACCATGTTAGAAGACATTGAAAAACTGAGAAACTAGTCTGGCCAGAATTGGAGGAAATGCACCATTTTTTTTTTCACAGCAAGTGGGAGCAAAAACTGGTACACTATTTCTTGAAGACAATATAATATTACTGAAATTTTTATGGTGCATACATTTGGCCCATCAGATTTTATTGCTAACAATTTAAGAAATCGGATAAGAAACTCTGCTCTCACAAAATATTAGACCATAAGTTATATGTGTAATGTAAATATATTGTATGTATTTAAATATATTTCCGTAACATACACTTAATTATAATTTTATATCTATGTATAAATGTGTCTATATAATCTTTAATAAATATATTTCCAAAAGTTTACATTCTTGATGTAACGTTTTAAAAGATTGTTTTATATTGTATTTTGTACAAAGTTCAAAGCTTATGAACTCATGAGACCTATAACAATCTTATTGAACACATAATTCATGTACATAAGTATAAATTATGGAAATTGCTTTCCTTATTTGCCTTTAATTTTCCATAAGAAATTTCCACATAAATTAATTCTGAACCTTATTATTATCCTGGAAATGTTATTGACATGAATGTTTTAAATAAAACTACACATAGGCATTACTTACCCCATTTCCACTGCAAATTATTGTGGCATTACAGAGTCGACCATCTTTGTGGGTTCCCACAGGTTGACAAGATCCATTCAGACAAACCTGCCATTTTAAAAACAAGCAACAATAACAACCACCAGGAAATGTAAAGAGTTGAGCAATCATTATTGCTACAAATAGAGATGCACAAGATTTGTATGTATAGGGATGTGCAAGCGGAGGTTTGCAGTTGTTAGTATTGAAAAAGCCATGCGGGTAACAATTATTTACAATATTTACAGATATTTGTAGTCTACTCTGTCGTTTACATACACATGACTGTAAACCTACATTTGCCCACCGCTGTGTATATAAAACACATGAATCTGTTGAATCAGAGTGGTGAAAGCAGACATCCCTGCCTTGTTCCTTATGTTAAGAGAAGCATGTTTAGTTTTTGCCCATTGAATATGCTGCTGACTGTAGATTTTTCATTCATGGCCTTTATTATGTTCAGGTATGATCACTCTATTCCCACTTTGCTAAGAGATTTTATCATAAACTAGAGGCCCCGTGCACGACATTCGTGTACTGAGTCGGGGGCAGGGGGTCCCTCAGCCCGGCCTGCACCCTCTCACATTCCGGGACCCCTCGGGGGATGTCCACTTACCAGTTTAGTCTATAGGTCAGTTTATCTATCCTCGTTCCAATATTGCATTGTTTTAATTACTTTAACTTTACAGTATGTCTTGATATATAGTAGTATAAATGTCCAGTTTCCATTTTCGTCTTTAAAATTACATTCGCTATTTTGTATTTTTGGCCTTTTGCATTTCCATATAAACCTTTAAATCAATCTTTCAATTTTCCCAACAACACATTTCCCCCTTCCAAAAAAATACCTGCTGTGATTTGGATTCTTGATAGCATCATATTAATCAATTGATTTTTGAGAACATTGACATGTTAAGTCTTCCAATTAATCAGTATTGCTTACCCCTCATTTATGTAAGTCTTCTTTGCTTCTCTAGTAATGCTTTGCAGTTTTCAATGCAGCGGTTACTTGCATATTTTTCAGGGTTCATCCTAGGTTTTAAATGCTTTTGAATGCTATCAAGGCCACAATATCTTGATGCTAAGGCTACTTCTAAAATCTTTATTTTTTACTTGTTATAAAGGTACAATTACTAAGACATAAAGTCACAGGGTTGCTACAATCTTGACTTGGGGATGACCAGCAAGACCACTTAAGCCAAAGATATCACCTCTACTTTATTAAAATCACAACCCACAAAATTTCCATGTGCAATCCAAACAGCAGAAATGCATGTTTTCAAGGATGTGCTCTGATTTCTCACTCACCATAATTTTACTAATATCCTTCCATGTCATTAAAAATTACATGCAAGTGTTATTTTAGAAAGAAATAGCGTATTGGATAAACTTTAATTTATCTGACCAACCTATAATTGTCATTTAACAAGTCTTCATAACTTTTCTCTGTTATAACAAACATCATAATTGCTCTATACCCATGAATAGTTCCTAATATCAGAAAATTAATTTCACATTATTCCATTAGCAATGGATAAAAAAATACGATATTTGACTCCTTACACATTTCCCAATCACTTTCCAGAAAATATGTGATAATTTATACTTACTTTAGAATGATAATGTTATTCTTCTCACCATCAGATATTACTTTCAATGCCCAAATGCTAACTTGCAAACAGTAAGTTACACTGCATACGTTTTATATATGTCTAACCACTGTGCTGTATATCTGAAATTAATATACTTTTGAAAGTCAACTGTTATTGAAAAATAAAAAATGTTTAAAACAACAACTTAATACTAAGTGACTTTGTATTTATGTAGTCACAAGTTAGGTGAAACATTTTCATGTTTCTTAGTTATATGCTCAATATTATGAGTTATTTTTGCACCGATATGTGCAAAACACGTGTGGGGATGTGTTTGAGTATGCTTGTATGCACACATACATAATATACATAAATATTTTGACATACTTATATACTCTAAGATGTATTCTCTGACAAAGTAGATGTCCAACAATTCAACTCAACTCAATTCTGACACTATCTACCTAGAGTTAGAATCAGATCCACAAATTAAAGGGCTCAGGCCCATAAGGATGCCTCCACTTCAGATACTAGATGCAAGTCCCAGACCACCCTAATTTTGACCAACCATCTAGACATTGGAGGTTCCCATAAACTCCTACTCAGGTTTCATAATTTGCTTATTTGGCTCATAGAAGTCAAAACAACACTTTAGTTATGTTTATTGGTTTATTAAAAGGCTACAACTCAGGAACAGCCAAGTAGAAGAAATATAAGCTATTTGTGGGGTCGGGGGAGTTAGTTTCTATGTCCTCTCCAGGCATATTGAAAGCACAGCAGGTGATGAGTTCATCAACTTAGAAACTCTCCGAATCTCACAGTCCAAAGTTTCTATAGAGTTCACTCTTCAGCCATACCATTCCCCATCATGGAGTTCTGTTATGTGGGGCTGGGTTGGGAGGGTGGCTGAAAGTTCCAATCCTCTAACCATTTAGTCTCTGGTGGCCAGCCCAATCCTGAAGCTATCTAGAGGCCTCTCCTAAATCACTCCATTGGTCTGTTTGGGCGGGAATGAATAACACAAAACATGGTTTGTTATCACTCAGGAAATTCCAAGGGCTATGGGAGCTCTGTGCCAGAAACCAGGGACCAATCCCAAAATATATTTGACGTGTGTGTGTGTGTGTGTGTGTGTGTGTGTGATGTGCACACACACATGGGCGTGTGCCATTTCACTGCTTTATTTTCTAATTAAATAATGATTAAATTAGTTAATAAAGTTCTGTGTTTACTCTGCCTTATTTATAGTAAACACTTTTTCACTTTGCTTTAAATGATCTTTGAAGGGAAGATATATTACTTTATAATGCTGTGGACAAAAAGGGGCCATATGCTAAACCTGACAAGCTCAGGAAAGGCCTGGATTGTGGGTTTTAAAAACTCAGAGACAGAAAGTAACCACATAAAATGGTCTGAAACTAAAAATTTATAACTAAAAGCGAGTCTTTGTGTGTATTCATGTCCTAGGCTAGAATCTTCCTTGACAGAGGTCAATATTTACCATAACTGAGCCTATAGATTGTCTTTTTGCATCTAAAATAACATACCTTAGGCATGTCAGAGTAATTTCCTTTTCCAGACCCCTCAGAGCACAACTCAAGGTTCTGTGGTCTCTGTACCAGAGCTAGAGACCACAGAAGCCCTCAGTGCTACCTTGCTCCTGCATACCATCTCCACGTGCTCTAAATGTTCATTATCAACCCTCCTGTGCCCACCAATATAAAAGAAGTATGTGTCTACTTGTATTACTTTTTATCCAGTCTCACAGATTTCCCAGCTTTGCTTTCTCCAGCCTGCCTAATCTACAACCAATGGATTTCAGGTAACCACCCACTATAACTTCCCCTTTGATTCTGATGTATAAAATAAGCAGTAAAACTGCTATCCTCCAGAGCACTTTCTCAACCTATTGAGATTTTTCATCCTGGCAACTGTCGTCAGTTTGGCTCAAATAAACTCTTATAAGATTTTTTTCTAAGCCTGAACATACTTTTGCCAACAATGTAGCCAGTATCAGTAAGTTCCGTTGTAATTACTTTATTATTTTTATGTTAAAATGTCTTTTTGCATTCTGAAATAAATTTACTCACTTCATTTTTCTTCTTATTTTTTTTAATTCTTAAAATACTGCTTCTCATTGTAAATTATTTTAATTAAAATGTAAGATAATTATGCATGTTTTTCTTTAGTCAATTATTTTTAGTGATAATAGTCTAAAATCATTTATCATGTTTCTTAATGCTTTTAAGAAAAATAAATTAAATAAAGCTTAGATTATTTTATTATTGTATCTTGTTGGAGGGTCAAATTTTCAACAAGTATATTATGCTTTTGGAGAAATAATTAGGGGAGTAGGCTAATAAGCAAATAAATAAATGTTTTACTGTCATTATAATCAAATTCATTCTAATTAATTATTGTAAGACTAAATACTTAGGGTGTCTTTTGTTGTTGTTCTTAGTATTCAGATTGTTCCATTCTAATTATTAGTGTATTATTTGATTCTTTTTTGTTCTCTGTTTACACAAATTATTGCAGACCAAATCCTAGCCTAATAAAGAGACTTAGATTCTCAAGTGTGAGGCAACCAGTTTAAATATCTATAGCAAAGTTCATAATAAAACAGATGGGAAAGCAAGTGATCCTTTGACCAGCAGAAATCTGACCTTTGAATCTTAAGATACAGTGACCAGTTTGTATGATTGCAAATAAAAAAATCTTAATATCCTCTCTCTCTCTCTCTCTCTCTCTCTCTCTCTCTCTCTCACACACACACACACACACACACACACACACACACAGGCACTCAGACACACACATCATATAAAATCAAGAAGAATTTATATTTACCCTATCTTCACCACATACAGTGCCATCAGCTACGCGGGTTACATCCACTTCTCCCACTGATAAAGGATCTCTCAGTTTTGCTGACATACATATATAGCCTCTAAGGTAAGTATATTGAATATCAAATGGACTCCATGATATTACCCGTGAGTTTGTCCATTGACAAACTAACTTTGCACAAAAGGTATCCCTGGCAATATAAAGCAGAGAAAAGTTCCCACGTGTCACTTACTATAAGACTAATGTTTTAGGTAAATAATAATTCAAAGTATGAGGATAATTCAGAATGTTACTCAAACCATAACAGCAAGGCTCTTCAGTGCATACACCATCTTATGAAGTGCAACATATAAATTTATCTGTATGTATTATAGTCATCTGTCATTTGAATTAAGTGACTCATTGCAGAAAACATATACACACAAACACACACATTTGAAAAATGAATAGTTTTTTTTAAAATACACACTGAAAATGACATCGTTTGTTGTGAAGACAGATTCCAAATCCATCTGCGAGATAATTCACTTCTTCTACACATACATACGCAGCACCTTTAGCAACTGAAAACATAAAGTTCCAATTACTCATCTCAAAAAACAATTAAAACTAAAAATATGGTATATTAATATAGAGACAGCTGGACAGCAGCAATGTCCAGTCAGTGAGTGCCATGTCCAAATTTTTGATGTCACCTATTGGCTCTTTGAGAATGAGAATCACTCCCCCAAAACTACCCACTTGAGAAGGGAAAAGTTGGTATCAAATTGCAGAAATGACTGAGAAATCAGTCATTTGATTTAATATCTACAATTCTAACAATATGTTCCCTTTGCACCAATCATCTGAATTTTCACTAATGTCCTAGTGTCTTTGTCCTATACTTAGTAATCCTATTTTGCCTCTTGACATAATTCAAAGGTGCTTTGATTTGCAATTTTATTTTCAAATTTGGATTTAAATAAACAATACCTTTCCTTGTGGTTAGGGTGAATTACTGACTTTAGAAAAATACAGTTTAAAAAGGAATCCCAGAAAAATAAACACAACTATTACATTTTCCAAATAACTCTGCACACTGTTTAGTCGGTTCTCGGCATATTCCTTTATAGCAAAAGGCGGTAAAGTTATTGCATGGTTCTAAATCAGCAGATTTTACATCCAACGGACAATTCTCATAAATTCCATTACAAAATTCAGGAAAATCACATGGATCTATGCCTTTCCGACATATATGTCCTCTTTCTATCACCTGTGAGACAAATAGAGACAATTTTTTTGCAATACTTTTTATACAAAGACAAACTGCTTCACACATGACAATTAATCAAGTCTTACCACACTACTCCAAGCAAGGTATTATTATCTTCTACTATAATTTAGATAAACTGTCATTATAGTTAAGAATGATGAGAGATTAAATGACTTGTCAAAGATCACATACCATAGTTCAGTACTGGGGCGGTATAACTCAAATTCCTGACTGATGGTATTAACATTAAGAACAGTCACTGTGCATATTATCCACTGAGCACAACACCCTTCTTTTGAAATAATTTAATAGGGACTAATCTATTATGAAGTTTAACTAAATATGAACATAATGGAATCAGATCATGTATTCATACCAAATGCCAAGTTCTGAGACAGTATGTATGCAATTTTCTGAAAGATGCGGAAATGTTAAACACATAAGTCAACATCCTTTTTTAATTTTCATCAGAAAATGTTGCATTGCCTTTACAGTTTTCATGTTGACACTATTGCAGATGTCTCATATTTCTTTGACACTTTCACACATCCTTGCCTACCCCTCCCTTGACCTTCACCACACTATTGTCTGTGTCCATGGGCTATGCATATATGTTTTTCACCTAAATCCTTCACCTTATTTATCCAGTCCTGTCTACGCCCCTCTCCTCTGACATTTATCAGACTGTTCCATGTGTCCCTGCTTCTACACCACTGCAAAAAAGAAGGAACTCTTATATTTTGTGACAGCACAGACGGACTTGAGGGTATTATGTTAGCAGAATCAGCCAGTCAGAGAAAGATAAATGCCATTTGATCTCACTAATATGTGGAATCTAATGAACAAAATAAACTGATGAACAAAACAGAACCAGAAGCATGGATGCATTGCCTTTAAAATAGTGTTGAGTTCTCTCATATTTTCTAGTAACTTCCAATGTGAGAACAATGGGAAATTTAAAATTGGTTTCCAGTGACATAGTAAGCGGGGGCTGTTACCAAAGCAGAAGTTCTAGGATGAAGTCTTTTAAAAAGTCTGGTGCTCAGATTTTATGATTACACCTAACTGTCAGAGAAAAAGGGATACTGTTCATTTCTTTTTTTTTTATCTTTCTGAACGAAATATGTTTGTAAAGTACTAACCAAAAAGTGTAAATAAGAATCCAAATAGACATGTGGATTCTATTACCTTTTTAGCAAATTAAAAGTTTACTTAAAAGTTCTAGAAAAATAGATTGGAAAGAAGCCAAATGTCTATCAATTAATGAATAGGTAAGTTGTGGTATATACATACAACAGAACATTTTCAGGCAGATATAGGAATGGTAGACTGATATATAATACAAAAATGAATAAACTTTTAAATCACTGCATTAAATGAAGAAAGCAAGACACCATTGGTCATTGTGTGGTTCCACTTACATGAAATATCTGGAATAAGTGAAACCTGAAAGGCAGCACTCACATTGGTGGTTGCCAGAGACTGACAGGAAGGGAGAAAGGAGAGCATGTTCGTCTGTTTGGATGATAAACATTTTTTGGAGCTAGCTAGAGGTGGTAGCTGCACAACATTGTGAATATTATAAATGACATTAAATTGTTCACTTGAAAATAGTTAATTTTATTTTTTTATGATTTTCACCTCAATATTTAAAGAAGGGTATAGTGAAAGCTCTCATAGTCATAATGCTGTGGTGATACTAAATATTTACTTCAAGATCAACAATAGAAAATATCTGATATCAGGCTATGCATATTCATTTTTCAACTTTAATTCTTGGGACTAATTGTATTCCTGATATGCTGTACTAACTCAGTTGCTAGTTTTTACCATAATCCTAAACTATTGCTCAATGGACATCTTTCTTATTTCAAATAATTTTTCTTTCAGGATCTACTCCACCTCTACCATGAGGGGTTATAAATCACGAAACTGCTTCAGACTCAGGATGATAACCAGAACACTTCTCCCTAGACACAGGGAGTGGAAATTTAACTTAGCAGGATCAGGCATGGTTTCCTCCATTACCAAGCATAGAGGCAGATGTTGGAAAAGAAATGATCTCTCTACTCTTCTGAAATATTGTACTATGGACTAGAAAACCGAGGAGGTGCAATGAGCTATCTGTATTATACATATGCAGAAACCTTGTTTGAGACCTGTCAACAGAATTGTGAGGCTATTCAATAGATGTCCTGAATAAGAATTCTATTTTTCCCGTTTGAAATATTCACCTGAGCATGAAGTTGAGCTTCATGAGTGTTTGTTTGTTTTCCTTTGCTTGGCCATTATCAAGATACAATCTTTTGTGACAGCAAGAATGGACCTAGAGAGTTTTATGCTAAGTGAAATAAAAGCCAGTCAGAGAAAGACAGATACCATATGATTTCACATATTTATATGTGGAATCTAATGAACAAACTAAAGCAACAAACTCATAAATTCAGAGAACAGACTGATAGTTATTGGAGGGGAGGGGGTTTGGGGGCTGGGTGAAAAAGATGAAGGGATTAAACAGTACAAATTGGTAGCCACAGAATAGCCACAGACATGCAGTTTGCAGCATGGGGAATATAGTAAAAAATATCAAGAAAACTGGGTACAGGCAGCAGGGAGTCAACTCTGTAAAGTGCATGGGTGTTTGGCCACTCTCCTATACATCTGAAACTGGTGAGGAATAGTAGTAAATGTAAACTGTGGTTGAAAAGAAAATAAAAATTAAAGGAATTGTGTCAGGTAGAAAATTTTGTTTCATATAGTATTGACTAAAAATGGGCAAATGGCCCATTGATTTTTCCCAAGAATAAAAGCCAGAATACTATTCCTTATTTTTTCTTTTTTCTTTTTTAATTTCACAAATCTTTTATTTCCTGGCTGGGATCAAACTTTTTAAATCTTTATTGTTGGAAGTATTACAGATGTCCCTGTTGTTTTTCTCATTGACCCCCTCACCCTGCACTTGCCCCTTCAGGCCTTCACCACTCTATTGTCTGCGTCTGAAATAGGAATTTTTAGGGGTGAAAAAAAGACAGGTTTAGGAAATTTTAGAAATTAAGGGAACCATGGAAGAAGCACAGGGCTGCAGAGCAGCAGAAGGTCTATATTTACAAAATAAAGGGAAGGAAGCCCCTCATTTAGAGGAAGAAGAAGGCCCAAAGGGGACAGGAAAACAATAAGGGAGGAGGGGAGGAAAACCTCACATGTCCTATGTGAGATTCGACCTTTAAGCTCAGGAGTTACTATAGTAACCAGTCTAAGAGAATAGTGACCAATCAGAGGGGATACCAAGGCACAAAGACCTACAGCCTCTATAAACCATGGAAACAGGGACTCCATGGGACTCTTTCCCCCTCCCCACGTGGGAGTCTGTGTTGTGAGATTCTTTTCCCTTCCCCACATGGGAGTCTGTACTTTTTCTTCAATAAAATTTCCACCTTTGCTGTACCACCTTACTTCTGTGGACTCATTCTTCAACTCTTTCAGACAAAGAATCTAGGGAACCGTCTTCCCCAGGGGAACACTGCGTATTCCAGTACAAAAAAATCTTGCTTCATGTCCATGGGTTATGCATATATACATATAAATTCCCAGGTTAATCAATCTTAACCTTCCCTCTGAAATTTGTCTGTCTGTTCCATGTTTGTCTCTGGTTCTATTTGTTCATCAGTTTATTTTGTTCCTTAGATTCCACATATGAGTGATTTCCTGTGATTATCTTTCTCTGAGAAGGCAGGGGTAGGTGAGGGTGGGAGAGGAGGGGTGAAGAGATAAACCAAAGTACTTGTATGCATATACTAGAGGCCTGTTGCACGAAAAGATTCATGCAATAGGCCTGGGTCCCAGGTGCCTGAGGAAAACTGGTGCCACTCTGGCCAGAGCCGCCTTCACAGCCCTCGCTGCTCCAGCCGGAGCCGCCTTCAGTCTTCGCTCCGTCGCTTCACGCCTACTTATGCAAATTAACTGTGATCTTTGTTGGTGGTTAATTTGCATATCTTGCTGATTAGCCAATGGGAGGTGTAGCGAAGGTACAGTCAATTTCAATCTTTGTCTATTATTAGATAGGATGAATAACCCATGGACACAGACAATAGGGTTGTGAAGACCTGGGGCAGGCTGAAGGGTGAGGGGGAACAGAGGCAGGCTAGAAGGGGTCAATGACGGAAAAAAGGATCCATATATAATACTTTCAACAATAAAGATTTTTTAAATGAATAAATAAAAATTTAGTATTTTTAAAATAAAATAAAGAAGTTATAAGTGTTGACTTATTTGTTATAAAACAAATTCCAAAATATTTTGATATATATATTTTAGAAAATAAAAGAACTCATTAGCTTATTCGTTTAAAAAATGAAGTCAAGTAATGTTAAATGATATATTAGTCACTTGGTATTCAAACAACAAAAGCTGTATATGTAGAAGTATTCACCTTTGCTGTTCTACTATGCCATTAAAATTATAGTATATCTAAAGTGTGAAATAAAAATAATATTGGAAACTATCTTTATTTCAAATTTTTAGTAACTTTGAATCTGAAGTCTACATGTAGTTACAATGGTCATGTCTTTAATTTTTTTCACACATAAATAAAGTGTATGTATAAGGAATTTATAATAAACATCATTTTGAACAAATTCAAAACAAAGATGCAACTGACCAATACATAATTGTACCAATACAGTACCAAATACAATTTTTTTAATTACAAATAGAAATTTCTGAGTACTAGTTAGAAACAAGCTATTCACTGTTATGTTTCAGTAAGAAAGCTGGTTAAATTATTATCTTCCACAGCTTTGCAATTGGATTTTTGTCTATTTAAGTAGAAATGTTATTTATAAAATATTAAGTAAATTGTTAAATTTTGGAAAAGCATTGGTGGAAACTAGCCTAACTGAAAGTAGAAAAGAGAAGAAAATAGGAAGCCTTTTACGCTTATAGCCAATAATGAAAGAGAGCAGAGTATAAGACAATTGTCAGCCTTAAATTGACACATAGTAATGATCCCTCCTTTAGAAAAACTGCTGTTTGAAACTGCTGTTTTGAAGTTCTCTGCTATTTCTTGCTAGTCCCTTGTTCCATAAGTCAACTTTGTTATTTTTAGATGGTCTCTTATTTTGTAAAAATAACTTTGTTATTTAACTTAAATAATAGAAAAGATAAACTTAACTGTCTGACCTTGCAAGCTAGCCATCTAAAGGGGCTAATACACTGATACTGATAATATTCTCATGCCAAGTGTTTGTTAGATATGATATGTGCTCAAGGTTACAAGTTGTCTGTATAGATATGATAGGTGTTTGTTAGATATGCTGTATACTCAAGGTTACAAGCTGTCTGCAAAAATAACTTACACAAAGACCTAGAAAGATATAAAAAGGGAATGCTCCTTCCTTTATTTGTTCAGAATTTGACAGAGATATTCTGCTCTGAACCTGCATGTAATAAAAATGACTCCTAACTAATTGGCTCAGTAAGGCATCTTGTCTAGCTTGCTGATTGACAATACAACAAAATGAGAGCAAAAGCAAAGTACTATACTATACCACATAATAAAATTAATTTAAACTAATAGAGTAGATTTAACTCTTGCCCTGAAGCTCTCCCTAGCAACTTGTACTGTGAATTTTCACTCAACCAAATGTAGTGATTATCTCCATTTTAAAGAACTACCCTTTGGGATGTAGAAAAACGGCAATAGGCTGTTTAGAAAGCCATATTCCGTGGTTTGGAGACAAAGGTTAAAATGAGAGCTCTAATGAAGGGAAAAGCAATAAGATTTATTGCTAAGAAGTAGAAACCTTACACTGCCTTCTACATTCATGTGCCTTGAACACAAACGACCATTAGTTCTATTTACTAGCCTATAGAGTAAAAAAGAACACATACAGAACAAAGTAGAATAATGTTGTGAGAGATTCCATTGACACAGAGAAAACACATCTGGCAAGCAAAATCTCTCATTAATTAGCTTTTATATTTGTCATAGAGTCCTGAAAGTGATACTAAATGAGGTGCTATAATGATGCAATCCACAGAAGGCAAATCCTAACCAATCTCCGCTCAGATGTGGCTACAAAGAAAAACTTGAATGGAAAACTTCCGAAGGGAAATCAATTCAATCCACTTCTAGGCTAGAAGTCTTTGCCCAAGGCAAACTTCACTATTGTTTGTGTTGCATATTGATGACTATTCTACATGGATTCCTTTTCTATTATTTTCAAAATGAGATTTTTTAAAAATCACTGTCTTTTATTGGAGCATTGCATGTCAAGTGTGTGTTAGCTGGCTCATTTATAATTTTATCGTAAGTTGTTTGATGATGAAGAGCTTCACTCAGGCATCACCGCAAGGAATTCATACCACCCAAATAATCTGGAATTGGTATTGAGTGCAATAACTAGAAGGATATTGAGTAGAAATTGAAACAACACAGTTGTTTGAATGGTGGAGCTAAATAGTAGGGAGAAAAAGACCTAATGATATCACCTAAATTATAAAACCAACTGTGTATGAAGAGGGTACATAAAGTAACATATTTGTAAGATGTATAAAAACAAGTTTTTAAAAAAACTGAACCATAATTAATGCACAAGAACATAAAAAGTTCATGAAGAAAAAAAATGTAATATTTTGAGAGGTTACCTGACAAGTTTTTTTATTACAGCATATTCCAGTGCCACATTTTGCATCTCCAATCAGTTTACAAGTGTTAGGATTACAGCATTTTGCAAAACTACAGTTCTAAAAGCAAATACAATCAAGTTAAATAATAGAAATTTTAAATCAAATAAATAATTTCATTTGTCAAAGGGTATTAAAGTTTGTCTCTAAGTTAATTACAATTACAGTATAATGTTTATTTCTATATTTAATTGTAACACTGTTTATTTAAACTTAATATAGTTTTAATAAAGACAACAATGGTAATAAATTATTCATGATTTCATGCTCAAGAAATAGTACTGTTAATAATTTAATCTAATCATTTTCAATCCTCTTTGATTCTGTAAAAATATGCACAATGAGTTTTCAGGGGTTTTTTTCATTGAATACATCATAAGTACTTTTCCATATTATCAAGTCTTCTCAAAAATAATTATGGGAATATATTACAAGTTATGATTGTGATAAAATAGAGGTTTCTAAATTATAATATTTTATCATTATAAAAACCTATTCAGAGAAAATTGTTCTTCATTATTATTTTTAGCTCCAAAATTTTATATTAAAGATTAATTCAAAAAGATATCGGAGTCTTGGAGAACAAAAAGAATAAATGCTCTTTATTATAGTACTAGAGGCCCGGTGCACAAAAATTTGTGCACTCGGGGGAGGGGGGGAAGGTCCCTCAGCCCGGCCTGTGCCCTCTCACAGTCTGGGACCCCTCGGGGGATGACCATCTGCTGGCTGAGGCCTGCTCCCCAGGGGATTGGGCCTAAGCTGGAAATCAGACATCACTCTGGCAGCCCGGCAGCCATCAGGGGATGTCCACTTGCCAGCGGGGAGCAGACCTAAGCTTCAGTCGGACATCCTTAGCACTGCTGAGGAGGCAGGAGAGGCTCCCAGCACGACTGCTGTACTGGCAGCCATCAGCCTGGCTTGTGGCTGAGCAGAGCTCCTCCGTGTGGGAGCTCACTGACCACCAGAGGGCAGCTTCTGCATTGAGCGTCTGCCCCCTGGTGGTCAGTGTGTGTCATAGTGACCAGTCATTCCCAGTCTTTCTGCTGTTAGGGTCAATTTGCATATTACCCTTTTACTATATAGGATAGAAGCCTGGTGCACGGGTGGGGGCCGACTGGTTTGCCCTGAATAGTGTCCCGGATCAGGGTGGGGGTCCTACTTGGCTGATGGCTGTTTTCAGGCTGCCCACACCCCCTCAAGGTGGGGGTCCCCACTGGGGTGCCTGGACAGCCTGGATGAGGGGCTGAGGGTTGTTTTCAGGCAGGCCAAGCCTGCAACTGAAGCTCCCAGTCTCTCCTTTTTTTCTTTTTCTTTTTTATTTACCTTCTGTAATTGAAACTTTGTTGCGGCTCCAGCTCCAAGGCCGGCCAGCTGAAAGTAGGTGTCTGGGGTTTGTTTAGCTTCTATAATTGCAACATTGTTGCTTAGAGTGCAGCTCAGAGCCCAGCCGCGGCAGGTGGGGAACCTTGGCTTCCTCCATCACTGGAGAAAGCAAGCCTCATGTTCGCTTCAGCTGCCTAGCTGCCTGGCTGCTGGCCATCATCTTGGTTGGCAGTTAATTAGCATATCACCCTGATTAGCCAATGGAAAGCGTAGCGGATGTATGGTTAATTACCATGTTTGTCTATTATTAGATAGGATACTCTGATTTCCAACTTTCTTATAGTTGTCTATTCAGTGCAAGAGTGATATTTTACTTGACTGGTAAGAATATTTAAAAATTAGCAAAACGTACCATCGCACCAAAAAAATTAAGCTACCTAGGAATAAACTTAACTAAAGAGTAAAAGACCTCTACTCAGAAAACTACAGGACGTTGAAAAAAGAGATAGAGGAAGACATAAACAGATGGAAGAACATACCATGTTCTTGGATTGGTAGAATCAACATCATTAAAATGTCCATACTACCCAAAGCAATCTATAAATTCAACGCACTTCCCATTAAAATACCAATGGCCTACTTCAAGATCTAGAACGAACTCTCCAAAAATTCATCTGGAATAAAAAATGACCCCGAATAGCTGCAGCGATCCTGAGAAAGAACAAAGTAGGTGGGATCTCAATGCCAGATATCAAGCTGTATTACAAAGCCACTGTTCTCAAAACTGCCTGGTACTGGCACAAGAACAGACATATAGATCAGTGGAATAGAATAGAGAGTCCAGAAATTAGCCCGAACCAATATGCTCAATTAATATTTGACAAAGGAGGCAAGAACATACAATGGAGCCAAGATAGTCTCTTCAATAAATGGTGTTGGGAAAATTGGACAGATATATGCAAGAAAATGAAACTAGACCACCAACTTACACCATACACAAAAATAAACTCAAAATGGATAAAGGACTTAAATGTACGACAGGAAACCATAAAAATTCTAGAAGAATCCAAAGGCAACAAAATCTCAGACATATGCCAAAGCAATTTCTTCACTGATACAGCTCCTAGGGCAGTTGAAACTAAAGAGAAAATGAACAAATGGGACTACATCAAAATAAAAAGCTTCTGCACAGCAAAAGAAACCATCAACAAAACAACAAGAAAACCCACTGCGTGGGAAAACATATTTGCCAACGTCATATCTGATAAGGGCCTAATCTCCAAAATTTATAGGGAACTCATACAACTTAACAAAAAGAAGATAAACAATCCAATCAAAAAATGGGCAAAGGATCTAAATAGACACCTTTCAAAAGAGGACATTCAGAAAGCCAAGAGACATATGAAAACATGCTCAAAGTCACTAATCATCCGAGAGATGCAAATCAAAACAACAATGAGGTACCATCTCACACCTGTCAGAATGGCTATCATCAACAAATCAACAAACGACAAGTGCTGGAGAGGATGTGGAGAAAAAGGAACACTTGTGCACTGCTGGTGGGAATGCAGACTGGTGCAGCCACTATGGAAGACAGTATGGAGTTTCCTCAAAAAACTGGAAATGGAACTCCCATTTGACCCTGTGATCCCACTTCTAGGAATATATCCCAAGAAACCAAAAACACCAATCAGAAAGGATATATGCACCCATATGTTCATAGCAGCACAATTCACCATAGCTAAGATCTGGAAACAGCCTAAGTGCCCATCAGTAGATGAATGGATTAGAAAACTGTGGTACATCTACACGATGGAATACTATGCTGCTGTAAAAAAGAAGGAACTCTTACCATTTGCAACAGCATGGATGGAACTGGAGAGCATTATGCTAAGTGAAATAAGCCAGTCAATGAAGGAAAAATACCACATGATCTCACTCATTCATGGATAATAAAGACCATTACAAACTTTTGAACAATAATAGATATAGAGGCAGAGCTGCCTCAAACTGATTGTCAAACTGCAGCGGGAAGGCCAGAGAGGGTTGGGGGGCAGGAGGGAGAGGGGTAAGAGATCAACCGAAGGACTTGTATGCATGCATATATGCATAACCAATGGACATAAGACACTGGGGGGTAAGGGAGGCCAGGGGATTGTCAAGGGCGAGGGGTGGGGGGGAAGGACACATATGTAATACCCTTTGTAATACTTTTAGCAATAAAAAAAAATTAGCAAAACGTATAGGCAAAAATAACTAGGCATTTAGGTCTGTTTCAATTTATTTATTGTACTAATAATGTGTTCATATTGAATATATATGCACATTCTGGTTTACTTTATATTTCTATGCACCAATTTCCCTTGAGGTAGTCTGTTTATTTACTTTACTTATAAGTACTTGTATATTAATGATATACAATTCAAAAACTGAGCTAGCCAGAAGGAAAACAACACAAATGAATATAATTCAGAATGCTTTGGTGATCTTGTTCCAGATTATCATCACTGCTCTTAACCTAAGGATTGAATAGCCATTCTATCAGGAAAACTTAACCTGAGACTTATTGACTTTAGAGGTAGACAGCTTTTGCCCAGGATAAACTTTTGAACACTGACATGATTCCCCTTAGCCACGTTGTATATATCTGGAGGTCTGCCTTTATTATCTAAGGAAAAACAAACACTCTTGTAAACTTTCCTCTGACGAGTACTTCTACTCTGATTACTGTATCTATCATATCACTGACCCAGTTGATGAAAATCGTTAGGTGCTCCTTTGAACCTCTTGGAATATTGATTCCCTCCTAGAGAGTTCCTTCATGTATTTACATCTTTCTCACACTAATAATCCTTACTTTCAGTCTCTTAAAACTTGGATCTTGACTTCACGCCACCTAAATGCTGCTTCTGAGGTTGCTACAAATGTATTGGTAGAAATTATCTCGCCCAGATGGCCAAAGTGTTGAATCTACACATGCTGTGATAAAGAAATTGTTGTTCTCTTCAGAAAAACTGCAGTCCATTTGGTAGGAATCTTTAAATCCATTCTTTAAACACCAATCCTCGGTGTTTGTTTATCACAAGGAACACAGAATTAATTCAATCATATTTATTACCTATTTCTGCTATAAAAATTACCATAAACTTAGTAGCTTAAAACTACGTACATGTGCTAGTATTATTTTACAGTTCTGGAAGTCAAAAGACCAAGAGACTAAAATGAAGATTTTGAAAGTTCTTCATTCCTCCTGGAAACTCTAGAGAAAAATCATTTTACTGCCTTTTCAGCTTCTAGAGGGCACCTGCATTCTTTGGGTTATGGATTCTTACTCCATCTTCAAAACCAGCGATGTAGCATCTTCAAATATCACTGTCACATAGCCTCTGACCTGTCTGCCTCCCTCTAATAAGGATCCCTGTGATTACATATGGCCCACTAAGAAACATAGGAGATCTCTCCCTCTCAAGATCCTTAACTTGATCATCTCTTCAGAGTACTTTTTGCCATGTATAGTAACATATTCACAAGTTATTAATATTAGGACATGCAAAGCTTTGGGGGATATTCTATCACATTTCACCATCTGGTCTCCAAAGATTCATCATGTTTATCTCCTAGGCAAAACACATGCACTCCATCCCAACATCCATAAAATCAAAACTCATGACAGCATTAACTTAAAGTGGCTGATTGCTGACTCATCTCAATGGAGTGAAGGAGCAGTTAAGTCTGCA